AGTCTGGGAACTGCAAAAGGTGGATGTCTGTGCCTGGAAAAAGTTTTGAAGATGGCTTTGGCATAGCCTAGGAAGAATCCTCCTGACTTTATTTCCCCATTGTGCTATTTCCTTTCTGAAAAGGATATTTCCCCACCTGGTTAATCCTGAGCCTTGTTTTCAATAGCCTGTGACCGCATAATTGGCTGTCAGATATGACTCATGCCTGGAATCAAAAAGAGCTGAGGAAGTTTTTTTTCCTGTTATGATACATGCCATTTTTGTAACTATGTCCCTCTTTTTCCTTTTATAGCAAATTTCTATAATCAAGTTTTATAAATACAATACTAAATCTATTAAATAATAGATTGATACTGGAACATCTCTGGGTTGCAAGTATAAATATCTTACAATTTTAACCTGTATTTGCAATCAAATTATAATATAAAGATGATATCCTCCTAAGGTGGAAATGATTAGACAAGGTAATAAGACAAAGATGTAATATGAAAGTTTTCTAAATAAATGGAATAGTAAATTTTGAGAAAGCAACAAGATTTGACTGTTTTCTCTAAGAAGTATACACATATGTATATGATTGGTCTCTAAATTTATTTATCATAGAAATTCAGGCTTTGAGCGTGTTTTAGTAATAAGTTCTCAAAATTGGATTAAAGATTTATTAATTAAGGGTTAAGGAAGTTACACATAAATTGTGTTGATCATGGTAAAACAAGTGAAATTCTTTTCCCACTTTAAAGGTATCTGTCTGATAATCTTGAAGGGCAGAAGAGGTCATGTTGCAGTTGGACCCTCCTAAATTTTTAAAAGATTCTTATAGCAGGTACAGGATTTAGGTAAGGATAGAAACAACAAATGGTATATGAACTGAAATTCTCAGAAGTTTCAAAATTGGAGAACCAAATTTAAATGATATTACTAGCATAATTATCTAGGAGCCCCTCTATTTGAATTAGAGAAGCAGAGCCCTCTTCAGAGCTGCTCTGAGAATAAAGCTTATTGTCCAAGAAAAGGTATCTAGGCACCAGATAACTACATGAGACATCTTGGACTCAGAATGTGCTGATTAAATGAATATTGAGAATGGGTTACTAGGATACAAGGAGACTTGATATCAATTAATATTGGCGATAACTATTGTAATGCCTTGGTCTTTTGTTTCAAGATGTTTATGTTTAAGTTTTCTTGGGCATCTTGGTGACGTGTAAATCTCCCTTCTCAAAACTAGTGAACCCTCTAAGTAATTTGATCTGTACCTGACAATGATAATGAGTTTATGAAAAACTTTATTGCATTATTTGAAATTAGCCCTGCATGGCTGGAAAAGGTGGATCTCTGTGTGCTGTTTAGAGATCCTTAATCAAGGACCTATATTATGCTGACTAGAAACTCAGATCCAAAGATTGATACAAGGAGCTTTTTTCACAATTGTCAACCCATATGTCTTCTAAGAGCCCTTACCAGCTCTTTCTGACTATTCCCACAGCTGCCAAACTTGTGAGTGTGGACTGCTGGATCATCTGAAGAAAGCCCCTGCTCCTGAGTACACAGCAGAACCCTCCAGGGACCTCAAGATTAGTCTAGTACAGACCCAGAAGCAGCCTACATCCAGGTGAGATAGCTGTCCCCAGATTCCAAATGAGGGCTGTGTATACTGTCTTAGTTTTTTCTTCTCTTCCCTTTTGTTATGTGCCCAATCACAAAGACCCTGATTCAAACGTACTTGGGCATTTTCTCCCTTTACCTTGTTGTCCCTCCTCTCTTTTCTGCTTGCAAGCAAACAATGGCTAGCAATGATACCTGGGACATACTTCCCCAATAGGTCCCCTCAAGGAACTGACCTCCTAGGATAAAAATGCTGGTCCTGAACCAATTGGCCTCTTGTGACATCTTGGCTTATACCTGCCTCTCCTTTATTGGCTAGAAGGGTAGGGGTTCTTTCAGACACCCTCCCTTTGACCAAAAAAGGGATACGCCAAGATGCTATTAGGAGACACCCTGTTTTCCAGAGCTAAGGCCAAACAAGCAAGCTTTGCCCTGAGCTTGTCATAACAACAATCCTTTGCATTCATCCTCTGGATGATCTCACCTTCTGGCAAAATCATATAGCTATTGTATTGCTTCGACCAGCTCCAGACGTTCTCTGAGCATGAATGAGCTCCTGCTGTATCCATGTTGACATGTATTCATATTGATGAAGTTTAAATATCAGCCTCCTCAGAGGTTATAACAGTAGTTGTAGGTTGTTAACTGAATTCTTTCCATCTTTTGTGTGTAGAAAATAAAAATCTCTATTCTACAGAGATAGGAATAGGGACCAGATCCGTGATTTCATTGAGATAGGGAACCACTACCCCAGATGAGGAAGACCCCTCTACTAATACAAGTTGGCAACTAGGTAGCTCAGTGGATAAAGTGTTGGGTTTGGAGTTGGGAAAAACTGATTTCAAATCCAGCATCAGACATTTACTAACTGTGTGACCTTGAGCAAGGTATTCTCTCAGCTTATTTGCTCATCTGCAAGGGAAATTATTATTTTTCTCTTATATTAATAAGCAATTATTATCAGGGGATCCAGGGTTTTTCTCCTTTCTATTTCCTCATTCTTGACTAGGTCAAAGCAGCCTTGGAAGGATAGGGCTGATGATGAGATTGGGTTAACATTATTCTCAATCTTGGGCAGAACCCCACCTAACTGGTAAAGTTTATTTCTGATGAAAGGGTAAAGATCATGTAACCTAGGTGAATTCTGGCCCATTAAGTTTTACTCAGGTAGGACTGGGGTAGAGAATAGATCCTTTATCTAGATTGCCCAAGGCAGAGGTGATCTAGGTAGAGATGAGTGTCTTTGTCCAAGGGCAACATAATCAGAGTCAGATATCCAGCCCCTCATTAGACTAGGCCCACCTCTCATTATAATATTCATTCTCCATTAATTGTTAACCAATCAGAGTTGATTTCTACCTGTTGGGAACACCTACTCTTCCAAGGGTATTTAAACTTGAGAGGGGGGAATGGAGAGAGGATCATCTTTGGTTCCCAAGAGTGCCACTGACCTCATTTTATTATTTGCTAGCCATGATTAATAAATTAAATATTAATTACACAGAAAGTATGTCCCTTGGAATTTCTATTCATCACATCTGTAAAATGAGGAGGATGGATATAATCCTTTCTTTTTAAATCTATTCTCTTAAATTTAAATTTAAATTCTCTTTAAATCTATGATCCTAGGACCTTCTCTGTAGCTTCATCTTCTGCTGAGAGATTAACTGGCTTGTGGGGTCACCCAGCCAATCCCTCTCTCTGAGACCAGCTCTATCTACCATTCGAAGCCCCCTCTCTTCCCATACCCAATTCCTATACAATACCTATGCCATACCCTATTCATATTATATATTGAGTAGGTTTCTATCCTACCTCCTTCCAGGGGATATGAGCCCAAACCTTTCAGTTTACCTAGATTTTAGCAAAGCATCTAATGAAGTATCTGTTGTTATTATTCTGGGGGAAAATGGAAACACAGGAATTAGACCATGTAATTAGATGGATTTGGGACTGGTTGAATGGCCAGACTCACAGACAAGGTATTAATAGTTTGATGGCAACTTGGTGGGAGGTCTCTACTGAAATACCTCCTGTATCCGTATCTGGCCTGAGCTTTTTAACTTTTTAATTAGTAGTAGTCAATATTAATGTCATACTTTAAACTTGACAAAATGCTTTACCCATGTTATCTCATTTGATCCTCCAAACAACCCTGGAAGCTAGGTCATATCATTATCATCCTTTTATATAACAGAGAAACTGAGGCTAGAAGTGTCTTGCCCAGACTCACACAGCTAACAAATATCTGAGGTAAGATTTGAACTCCTAATTCCAGGTCCAGGGCTCTAACCATTATGCCAACTAGCTGCCCAGCAGCTTTATTAATCACGTAGATCAATGGTCTCCATATTTTTTGTTCAAATACCCCTTACAGTAAAAACTTTTTGATCACACACACCATATCTATCTATAGATACATACATACACACATACAATATACTTACTTAGAAATCATATATATTTACTGCTGTTGTTATGGCTTGTTCTTCGTTTTCTTTTTCGGCTTAGCAATGGAATTAAGTGACTTGCCCAGGGTCACACAGCTAGTTAAGTGTTAAGTGTCTGAGGCCAGATTTGAACTCAGGTCCTCCTAACTCCAGGGTCAGTGCTCTATCCACTGCGCCACCTAACTGCCCCTGTTCTTCATGTTCAAAGAGGACCAGTGACATCATGGCTACGATTTGAGTTGTATATGAAAGGGATTTAAGTGAAGCAGAGTTGCACGCAGTCTTTAACCTCTCTCTCTTCCTGAGTCATCAAAGTCCAGTGGCAAGACTAAAGTTAGGACGACGGGTGACGGCCCAGGATGCAGTGGATAGCCTTGGCATCTTCAATGCCTGACCAAGCTCTACTAATAACCAGGTGCATTATAAAACTCATACAAAAATAGAGATTTTAACAAGATGAAATAACACTGGATTCTAGAGTCAATGGGGAGCCAGTGGGGTTTACTGAGGAGAGTAACATGATCAGACTTGCACTTTAGGAAAATCCCTTAGGCAGCTGTGTGGAGGGTGGGCTGGGAGGCAGAAACTTAAGGCAGGGGGTCAATGAAGAGGCTTTGCAATAGTCCAGGTGAGAGTCATTGGGGCCTGAACAAGGGTAGTAAAAGGGGCACAGATGTGAGAAATGTCAAGGAGGTAGAAATGACAAGATTTGGCATTTAGGCTGACACTTAGGTTGCAAGTCTGGGGTCCTGGGAGCATGATGGCACCTTTGACAGTAGGAACTGGGGGAGAGGGTAATGTAATGGGATCTGTGATGTGTGTCGACCCATTCTTGCCTGCTCGTCCCATGGAGGCAGGGCTCCTGAGAACACAGAGTCTGCCCTTCGAGGGGTTCCTGCCGCAGCCA